CTTCTTTTAAGGTTGTTTGGCTCTTTTAGGTTCTTTGGATTTCCATATGGATGGATGTTAGAATCAACTTGTCTGTCTGTCTATCTATCTTTCTTTCTTTCTATAAAGGGCCTGTTAGACTCAACACAATCACAATCAATGTTCATGTTGAGTCTATAGATCAACTTGGACAGAATTTACATTTTAATAATTTTGAGTCTTCAATCATGAACATGGTATATCTCTATTGATGTATGTCTTCTCCAACATTTTCATTGGTATTTTGTGCTTTTCAACATACAGATCCTGCACATATTTTCTTAGTTTATAAAACTCAGAAATATCACCTCATGAACTTGCACCTCTCTAGTCTTAACACTTCTTCTCCTGACTTGGCACTGGTATGTCTTCCTTGGTGAGTCTTTTCTTACTGTAGAATGCTCACTGCAAAGGGAAATTATAACTCTTGCAAAGGACAACTGATTTCATGAGGTTGATGAGAGTGTTTTTGGAGAATTACTGCAATCCACACAGCCGGTGATAAAGGAAAGTCCACATGAGTTGGGCGAATTAACAACAAAGAGAAATTTGACAAAGAAGATGACAAAAAGTGACTTTAAGGGAGAAAACTTTGATCATCAAAGGATTATGAGATATCTTTGGGAAAACTAATGAGCCTGAAATATTTGTACAGAATTGCTCTGTGTAAATCAAAGATATAATATAAGGAAGCTACATATATACATTTTCCTCTGTACTTTTTGCTGGGAAAATATCATTTTCTCACTTTAGTTAGAAATGGTTGTAGTTAAAGCCTAAATTCTCTTAAATAAAATATGAAAAATTTTCCATAATTTTTATTTTCATTTCATCCTTCTCTCCCTCCCTTTCCTTCCTGTTAACACTGAATGATTGCTATGTTCCATATTTGATATCTCTTCTCTTTTTCAAGATTTATTTCCTTTAAATTTCACAAAAACTCTGAGAGTGGGCATTGTATTACCCTGTTTTATTTAAGGGTAAGGAAACCGGGGCTCAGAGAAGTTAAGAAATGTGACTCTGTAATTGGCAAGTTCTGACTCCTGTAGGTTACCAGCTTCTAGAGCTCTGGCTCACAACTGCCCCATAACCTGGCCTGGGACTGAGGGATTTTCCAGCACTCAGGATTTTAGCTAAACCCAGGAAAGTCCTGTGCAAGCCAGGCTGGGTTTGCCACCCTACAGAGCTATCCCAGTAAGGCCCAGAGAATGGTGTCTGCAGTGTTTYGCTACAGATGGCCTGTCCTTGCTCAAGTCCTGCCCAATGCATGCTGATGTTTCCCTTCAGCACTCTTGTCACCAAGTTATGGTGTTGGTCAGCAAGTGCCCCGGATCCCTTTGCCAGCTTCCCTGTGCTCTGCAAAATGTTGGCTGCATCATGTGGTACTCCAGGCAGGGCTCTACTAGTTCCTGCTCACTGCCCCGAGCCTATAGCTCTCTCCCTACTCAGCCAGGAAGAGTGTTCTCTGGTTCTCTGAGTTCAGAAGTAGAGTTTGGTTTGCTTGGTAGATTCACTTCCTGCCCCCTTGCTCAGCACAGCTCCCGTGTAACATCCTTGAACATCCCCCCAGCAACCATCACTCAGGAACATCATAAGTAAACTGCACATCCTATACTCTAAGCTACAAAAGCACACTGCAAAGTCCTGCAAGTCTCTGAGTGTTGGTGGATTCCCAAATTTTCCAGACATCTCAAATGACCTCTGATGAGCTGAAAGAAATTGGTCCTAGCTGTTTCTCTTATGGCCTTGAGACAGAGGAATATTAAGCATTTCTATGCATTGCAGAATCTGTGGGGGATCATCTTCCTGGAAACCAACTTTCCCTGATCCCATAGATCCAGAAAATGAGTGGAAATTTTGAGGTTAAAGAACTCTAAAGGGACTGGGCACTGYGGCGCTTGCCTGAAATCCTAGTGACTTGGGAAGCTGAGGCAGGAGGATTGTGAGTTCCAGGGCATACTCAGCAACTTTCTTGTCTCAAAAACCAACCAACCAACCCCCTAAAATCCAAAGGCTAAGAGATTTTGATCCTACAGACTAAGTTCTCTAAGTTCTAAGTTCTCTCCAACAACAGTTTTTCTGGTTCCAAAGTGATAACTTCATAAACAATTTAGTTAACTTAATAAAGTCTTTGTTACATTATTAGTGAACTCAAAACATTTTATGACAAAACTTTCAATATTAAAAATATAAACTAGGGACAAACTTTGCTTATCAATTCACTGTTTTTCAATTGCAAGCATACTTAAAATGAATGTATTTTAGTCAGCTTTTTCACTACTGTGACTAAAACCCGACAACTTTAAGGAGCAAAAATTTATTTGGGGGCTCATGGTTTCAGAAGTCTCAGTCCGTAGCCATCCAGCTCCATTTCTTGGGGCTCAAGGTGAGGCAGAACTTCCTGGTAGAAGAGTGGGGTGGAGGGAAGCAGCTCACGTGAGATCAGGGGGGAGAGAGAGAGAGAGAGAGAGACAGACAGACAGACAGACTGAGTCCACATATCAGATATAAAATACATACTTAAAAGGCACGTCCATAATGACCCTCCTCCTTCAGCCACACCCTACCTGCCTTCAGTATGCTCACCCCACCATCCAGTTAATCCCTTCAGGTGATTAATTCACTGATCAGGTTAATGCTCCCATGACCCAATCATTTCTCCTTCTTACATTGTTTCACACATGAGCTCTTGGGGGACACCTCACATACAAACCGTAACATGATGTTAAAATAACTTCTCTGATCATAAAATTACATGTGGATTATAGAAAACTTGGAAATGCAAATAAGAAGGAAAAGAAAAATTATTCACAATTTCATATCCTAGAGGTACATATTTACTAGAAAAAGAAAATTGTTGGGATCTGACTGTAAATATTATATTAGGTTTTGCTTCACTTTTTTTTTTTTTTGCTTTACCTTGAATTCAGTTCAAGGTGATCATGTCACAACATGATGTTTAATGGCTGCCCAGCACTGTTTTATGACTTTGCCATAATTTACCTAACTAATCTTTTATTGTGGGACATTGACATTGTTTCCAGTTTTTTGCTTTGTGAGTAATACTGAACTTAGCATAGAGGCAGATACATCCTCTGAGGCTAATCCTTAGAAGGGGGATTGCTGGGCGGCCTGGAATTGGGTTGTGAGGATCAGAAATTCAATGGGTCACCTCTAGGACAGTGGGATTTAACATAAGGATTCTTGACCTGGGAGGTTCCTAGAACTGAGACAGGTAGGGACTTCAGCTGTTTCTAGCCCAGAGTCGACCCTCCAGGACCGGCTTGGGACACCCCAGAAGGTCAGAACAGCAGAGTTGGATGTGGACACCGAGGCAAGGGTCCCTGGGGCGGGGAGGGCTGATGGGGGTGGGTTGATGGGGGTGGGGTGGGACTATCACAAGCCCAAGGTCCCAGCGTCCTGGGCCCGTTACTCCTGTGACTTGAAATTCTCCGTGTTAGCTGCAGGAGACCTCAGTACCCCATCCTCTGGAGAGGGATGAGTGACTAGGTCCTGCCTGTCTCCCCAGTTAGAATCTGGCACCAAGGAGGAGCAGAACCGGAGCCTAGGCGGGTTGGGCGGTTGGACTCCGCGGCCACCTCTCTGATCCAGGTTGTCTGTCAATGTCCAGGACCCCTAGAGCCTGCAGTCTGTCAATATGTCCAGGAACGCAGCTGCGGGAGGAGTAGGAGGTGACCCTGGAGCGGAAGGGGAGGGTTGGTGATGTGGTTCAGGGTTGAGCATTTGTGGACACAGCTCGCCCCCTAGTGGTCATTTCCCCGTGATAAGTGCGCCGTGTGCGGAGGGGGAATACTGATCCAGCCTCCAGCTCCCAGGTCTGGGGAAGCCAGGGGGCCAGATCCAGCCCCAACTCTACTCTAACTTACTGGGTGGTTCTGGCCACATCCCACCCATCTCTGGGTCTCATTTTGGTCATCCGTGAAATAGAAAAAGTCCTGTCTGCCTCATAGATTTGGCCTGGGGTGGGGAAGGATTCTAGCTGCCGTTCCTCTTTGCCCATTTTGGTCAGGCTGGGAACCCCGGCATGGTTTGAGCATGCATGTGCAGAAGATCCTAGAGAGCACTGGGTTTGGGCTCTGAAATGGTGCTGGCTAAAGCCTCCAGACTCAGGGTGGGCCCTCAGCCTCCATAAGGATCTCTCCTCCTGCCTCTGGTTAAACAGGAGCCAAACAGAGGAGATGGATGGAGTGGCCAAGAACTCAGAGCCAGGCCTCATTGGAGGGTTGGAAATGACAGACACTGTCTCATTCGGAGGTGACTTAGGGCCTGGGCGCTTCTGATTTGAAGCTCCCTTGATGCAAACAGCCTTTTCTCTTTGGGCATTTGTTGAAAACAATCAGTACTGACTGCTTAACAAGGCGGCTGTGTCAGTCAGGGATAKCAGCTGGGCCAGCAAGGAGCTGACCAAAAAATTTAAAAGGAAAAGTTGAGGAATGAGCTGTCCATGGAGGGTTTTGAAAACTTTGGCATATTCTTAGGACTCTAGAAGTCCATATATGTGTAGGACTGTGTGTGTGTGCTAAGGAAAGGCCCTGCCCTATTTGCCAATTGCAAGTGGTGTTGCAGCCCCAGGTACCCGAGGCCCTGCCTTCCGTGTAGACYGTGAGCAGGAGGGCTGGGGTGTGCATAGGGGGTAGGGGAGGGTGCTGGGCAGAGAAGGCTGGACTCAGTGTCCCTTGTTATTTTCTGTTGCAATCCATTTTGCAARCCCACTAGGTTCCTTTGATGATGGCGGTGGCAGTTGTATGTGTACCCGTGTACATGTATGTGTGCAAGTGTTCATATACRTGTGTGCACACACGTGTATTTGTTTCACATGAGCTCTCCCAGCTTTAGAAAAGGAAGAAGAAATTCAAGATTTTTCTTTATTTAGGTATAAAAAAAAATACAGTACGTCTCATTCACCAGTGTGGCCAATCTAGTCATTATCTGTAGAGCAATTACTACAATTACAGAAGATAGAAGGTTACAAGAATTGTTTATTCAACTAAAAATCCTGAATTAAAATTGTTAACCTAAATAGCGACCTGCTTATTATGCAACAACCCTATTCTATATGTTTGTGAGGGCTACGAACTTGTAAGTATTATTAGTAAAATAATTATGAAAAATTAATCATTGGTTTAAAAAGACGTCAGTGTTACCTACAGTGCCTGGCAGTGTGAGGGGCCTTGCAGGGGAAGGAGGCTTGATCTGTGATGAAGGGTGGGCTGGAGAGCTTGTGTCCTCCCTTGTCCCTCTCCTCATCTGAACGCCACTTCCACAAGGCATGTTTGCAGTGAAAAGTTCCACACGCAGCTTAAAGTGGGCAATGCACAGGTGCTGCCAAGCTCGGGCAGGGCAGGGGCCTCGCCTTCCGCAGGGTGTGCCTGGGGGTCAGTTCCCTGAGATGTGGCAACCACGAAGCGTAAAGGCAAATGGCATGGCTCTGTCATACACTCACATTTGGGTTTGGACATTGGCCAGACTTGTTGAGGGCCACATCTTGGTTGCCTCTAAATCAAGAGATAAGTAGACGGAGAAAATAAAGGGGGAACTCGGTGTGACCTGTTGAGGCAGTGACAGGAAGAGCTCGTAGGCTCCAGAAACATCTGCCCCCTCACAGGCAAGCCTGGGTGGGTGTGGATGAGTGTCAAGTTGGGGTATCACCTACACCAGATGCCCTCCGGAGATGGTGGGTAAATGGAGGTGGCCCTCACCCTATGATCTGTCACTCTTAGTCTTCACTGTCTCTCCAGGATGAATTCACAGTTGCTTCAGGTTCAACAAGCCACTTCCCTGAATTTGGCTGACCGGGTCAATGCTCTGTACAGCACAGTTACTGGAGTGGCAGGCCAGTGAGGTCACCTCAACCCAAGGTCAGGAGCTGCCAGGTGGCCCCTTCTTTCCTCTTGTCAGGCCTGGGGAGGGGCTGGGGAATGGTGGGGCACTGAGAAGGCATGAGGGAGTCACAGCAGGCAGGTGAGGGCAGGCATGATGGACAGGCTTAGTCTCCTTTGGAACAGGGCTGCAGAGAGTCTTATCCCACAGGTCATGCCATCCAGCCCTGTCACCAGGCAGACAGTCACCAGGATCTCACCAGCCCACTTCCCCAGGGACCTCTGGGGAAGACCTCCCAGCTATTGAGCTCGATATGCTTTGCTTGGCAGCTTTGCAGAGCCAGAATAAGTCTTTGGGTTAGATGTGTGGTCTGGGGGCCAAGCCCAGAACTGACTTTCCCAGCATTTGGGGGTAGCCATCACTGAAATATGCTCCTAGATATTTCAGAGACCTGGAGTTTGCTACCCTGGGGATGGTGAGGTCTTTGGTGCCCACCAGAGAGGGTGCTGGACTGGAAAGTCAGGGCCACACTTGGAAGGCTTGGTGCCTGGTGTCTGAACGGCCTGGGCTGCAGTGGGTTCGGGTCCCCAGGACCAGAGGGCTATGACCTCTAATACACCAGCTGCTCGCGGGGGTCGGAGCCGTAGAGCTCSGCCAGCATCTTGAACCTGGGACCCCAGTCATTGAGGAAGTCGTAATCAATATCTGAGTCAGAGGAATCAGTGCCCAGGGAGCTGAGCGACTCGGCGATGGACTCGGAGCCCTCATAGCCATAGATGTGCAGCGTGTCGTAGGGGGGCCCGCCGCCATCCTGGTCCGCCTCGTCCTTCTTCACCTCGATCATGGTGGCCATCTCCCCGGGCCCGCCGTGTCCCCCGGGAGCCAGCCGCGGTGGCTTCTGCACCTGGGTGTAGACGGCCGGCTGGGCGTCCAGCGCGGGCCGTGGGGGCTTGGTCCCGCCGTGGCGCACGGAGTTCAGCACTGACACGTCATAGCTGGTGGTGTCCATCTCGCCGCCGCCCTCTTCGTCGTAAGTGACCAGCTGCTCGTGGATCTCTGGCACGCTCTTACCGTGAGCACGGGCCTGCTTCCGGAGCCGCCTCCGCAGGAAGATGAGCAGGGTGATCACTGCCGGCCAGCAAGAAGAGGGAAGGGCCATCAGACCAGACTCAGCGCCCGGTGTCCCCACCCCCACTCACCTGCTCCCCCCGGCCTCGCTGCAGATTCCAAGGCCAGCCCAGACTCCCAAGGATACCTCCAGGGCTGGGCCAATGTAGGTTTGGCTGGGTCCAGGCACCAGGGGGGTCCACCCCACCCCATGGGATAGTCATCTTCCCTCCCCCATGCTCTTGACAGGGCGGTGGGTGGTGTGGTGTGAACAGAGTAGGAAGCCTGTTCATTCTCTTCTGCCTGTCTCAGTCCTTTTTACCTGCATCCTCATTTCCTATCTCTTCATACCTGGGTGGCAAATATTTCCATGTCATCTCCAAAAGGCCAGGAGGTTGGGGCAGAAGTGGGGAAAGGGTTGGAATTTTGAGTGCAAACCTTCTGAGTCATTATTTTGATGAGCCTGTGATGATGATAATGGATAATGGTGGTGCTGGCGGACGTGATACTCATTGCACAGCAGCCACCACTCTATTGAGCACCTACTGTATACATGCTTGGGACTATATTGGGCACATTCTCATATGATCTCACTTCATGTAGGAATTGCTATTTCTATTTTAAAGTCAAGAAAACTGATCTCATGGAGGCTGTGCGACCCACCTTGAGTCCTGTGGATCTGCACCCTGGTGGAAACTCTGAGGGGTGTGGCCTTATCAGTGTCTAAGATCCCTGAGAAGGGGGTGGACCGTATGGTACAGGGAGTTCCTAAAATTAAGTCAGGTCATCACCCTGGGCTCTGTCCTGCTCCCCTTGAGTTACTTCACAAGCTCTTCTATACATAAGGGAAGTTGGATGTCCTGAGAGACATCAGTTTTCTTGTCTGTAAAATGGAAATGATGATTTTTTTTTTCTGCTCTGCTTATATTTGGGGAGGGTGGTTATGAGGCTGAATGCAATTTTATAGGTGGTGGCAATGCCATTTTGTTCTTATTATTAGGCATTATTTGAGGGAGAATCTGGGTCTGGACTGTGTACCATGGAAGCCAGGGGTGGGGCACACCCAGAGGAGCCACTATCAGGAAAGGCCTGAAGCATATACCATGGTGCCCCACAGCATCCTAGTCCTTGTCACTGTGGTGCAAAGCTGACCTGATCCCCCACTGGCTTCTTGTAGGACTGACCCTGGGCTCATCTGATGGCAGGGGAAGTATAGGAGAATTTACCCCCTTGGGAGGAGCCCTCAGTGACTGGCATCACTTCCCCATCTCCTGTGGAAGGGTGCTAAGGGAACTCCATGCTGCTTTCTATTCCTTCAGTGGGACAAAGCTTATGGCCATGGGTAATTTCTGTGACAACTGGTTCTTTATGGACTGTCTTCCTTGTCTGCTCCAGTCCCCCTCCTGTTTATGAGATCTCCAAATAAACTACTTGCACCCAAATCCTTGGCCCAGGGTTTGCTTCCTGCTTCTGGGGAACCCAAACTAAGACAAACTCCTAAAACTTATGAAGCCCAAACCAAAAAAACAAAAACCAAAAAAACAAAACACAAAACAAAACAAAAACAAAAACAAAAACAAACAAACAAAAAAACCCCAAAACAAAAAACAGATAAATATCAAAGTTTGAGGAGAAATTCTATAAAAGCAAAGAAAATCTCCAGTGACAATCTGGAGGTTTTCAAATGTTCCATTTTAGAACTTTTAAATTTTTTTTTAAATTAAAATAGGTTTTATGTAAATAAATTCCAAGAATAGTGCTTGGCACACAATAAGTGCTCAAAACGTATATGATGTTGAATGAGTGAATGTGTAATTAGAGATTTTTATTTTTATTTATCTTTTGGTGCCGGGGATTGAACCTGGGGCCTCACACATGCTAGGCAAGTGCCCTACCACTGAGCTACATCCAGGTCCAAGCTACTTTGAAAAGGAGTTGGCTTGAAGAGTGGGGAGGGGTCTTGAGCCCTGCCCCACCCTCCCCTCTTCCTTGTGCTGTCCTCCCACCTTAGTACCCAGGTGGGTGGAACTCAGCATCCCAGTATTCTGCACATGGAAACTTGAGGCCCAGGGTGGTGCACTGGCCCAGGCTTCCTTGTGGGCTGGATGCAGGACTGAGCCCGGATCCCTGGCTTCTGTGAAGCCCCCTCAGTATTTCCTCCCCACGCCCTGGGCACTGACCTGTGATGGTGAGGATGCAGAGGAAGATGGCTACCAGCGCCTGGATGCTGACGCCCATCTGGGCGGCCGCCTCCTCACAGAAGGTGAACTCTCCCCACTCGTTGCACTTGCACACGGTTATGGACAGCATGTTGGTGCTGGTCAGGCTCGGGTTCCCATTGTCCGAGATAAGTATGGGCAGGTAATGCATCTTGGCACGTTCCCGGTCAAACTGCCCATACTTGACTGTGACATTGGCTGTGTTATCTGGAAACACCAAGGTGATAGAATGAGGCTGTTTCTAGGAGAGTCCACCCCCTTGCATGATGGAACACGGGAGCCCTCCTCAACTGCACTAGCCCCCTGCTGCCTGGACTGCTCCTCTGCCCAGTGTCTCCCTGTCTCATTTCCAGCCATTGGAGCACAGGCCTGTTCCTTCCTAGAGGGGATATTTTGGGCAGTTGCATGGTCCCAGCTGAGAAGAGTGGTTCATCTGGAATTTAAAATCCTGTGGGCAACTGATGTGCCAGTCCCCTTCTTTATCTCCAAACCCCTTTCCAAGAGCAGGGGACTTTCTCTTTGGCTTAACTAATTACTGTGTTGCTTCAGGCTTCCACAGCAATCAGGAAAAGTAAAGTTTTAAAAAGTCTTTTAGCACTGGGCTAACTCCTAGACCTGTGTCTGCCATCTTAGAGAATCCTTTGTTATAGAGGAGATTTACAATAGCAAAAATGATATCCTGATCCCCAGCAGTGAGAGAGGATGATTGCATTTGCCATTGAGGGTTCTCTGGTCAGTTTACAACTAGGAATATGCTTTGTCTAAATATTGGCTTCCCCTCCTAGCTCCACTGGTTTCCTACATAAGAATCTCCCAGGGAGCTTACACACACACACACACACACACACACACACACACACACACAAACACATTCATTCTCATTCTCTCTCTCGTTCCTGGAAAGTGTGATGCCAATGGTCAGAGGGTTTACTAAGTCAAACAAGGTGGACATGCTCAGGAAACCAGTTGAAAGTCAAGACTTTTCAAATGCAAGGCAATTACATTTCATTATTCATAATTACATTGAAGTCTTAAGTCTAAATAAAAAGTAAATGATATGCCATTGGCACTTTGTGGGAGAAATGAGGGATATTGACATTTAGGACGTTCATGTGTAATTGAACCTGAGATCCATAGGATCTTACCTTCTGGGTGCATGTGTCTTTAGGGTGGAATTTAAACTTCTACCCCATGGCAGGTCCTACCCAGGTGCATTTGAAGTAGACATTAGGAATGGTATTTTTGCCACATTACTTCTTATGAAAGAGAGCCAAGTGTTGAATGGTCTGTCATTAATTGTCAACACATAATCCCCTCCTCATCCCTCAGGAGGCTTCTTAAGACAGGTCTGTGGCTGATCTCTGGGTCTGCTCCTCACTGACAGGGGATGTCAGTGGGCTCTTTCAATATAGGGGTCCTCACAGGCTTTTCAATAAGGAACGGCAAAGGTCACCTCCCCTGAAGATCCTGGGTGAAGGATTGCTTTATTTAAACCTTAGGAGGATTTCCTCTATTTTTTTTTCCTGAGGAAGTTGCAGATAAGGTCATGAAAACCTTTGCACTTTTGACTAGAATTAAGTCAGCTCAGCATCATCGTTGCAGTAAGTGCACATCCATCAGAAGCTCTGATCAGCCACTACTGACCTCGTAGTGGCTGACCTCTGGGTTTTGATTGGTGGGTCAGATGTGCTGTGCTGTGCTGTGATTGGTGGACCAGATCCTGTTTAGGGCCACCTGATGGTAAGTAGTCATTGTAGCTGAATTAAAACAAAATTCATGATATTCTTGGGATTGAAAGCGTCACAGTTTTGACTGTTTGGGAGAGATCTCAAAGCTCCATGTGGTAGAGCGATCTGAAATCTTTCTGAGGCACAGAGACCCCCCCACCCCGTGTGGAGAGCGATTATTTGACTCATTCGTGAATGGACCTAGCTGCCTGCACCCCCTTCTTTATTCTGTACCCCTCTTGGCCAGAGCATCTTGGAGGGGAACGGCAAACTACGTGGATGTGGCAGTTTGGTCAAGGCGGCTCTGACCACTGTATGATTTATGTAGTGGAAATTGTACAAAATGTCCTGTAACATAAAAATCCCTGTGGGGGGACTGCCCCCATTTTCTGGCTTAGTCCTCGACTCTGGTGCCTCAAGAACTCAAGTAACCCCATTCCGGACCCTGTCACAAGCCTGCTGATTGCTGTGTTGCTCACCATGATTATCCGTGAGGGTGAAGTTGCTGTCCTCAGTACTCAGGGCGTATTTGAACTTGACGTTCCGTGGAGTTATGTCCTTGTCTATTGCAGAGATCTGCACAACCAGCTGGAGTATGGGAGATGGGGGATGGTCAGTGTGGTTTTGGAGTGGCCTGGGGTTCAGGCATGGAGACTTTGGGTTTAGACCTGAGCATGGCTGCCTCTCACCTGCAACCCTGACCTACATGGTCTCCACAAAGCCACTCTTTCCTCCACTGTCCTTGACCCCTGACCCCGGCTCTTCATCTACACTTCAGACATTGTCTGAGGCTCAGTTTCTCATTTGCAAAATGGGGATGGTATTACTTTCCCTCAGAGTGCAGGAAACTCAGTGGAACTGCAGCTGGCTGTCTGCCCCTCAGCTGGCCTCCAGGGGGGCACTGCCTCACCCTCGGCCCAACCCAGACTCACCTTGCCGGCGGCCACATTCTCACACACTTTGGGCTCATAGGGCTGGGCGAACATCGGAGCGTTGTCATTCTCATCTAAAACTTCAATGTGGACCTGCACGATGGATTCTTTACCTGTGGGCACCCCTGCAGGGGAGAGGATTGGTCACTAAAGTGGGCTCAGCTCTTGCCAACCCCTGGGGGATGGAAAAAGAGGGGAAGCCACTCTTTTTCAGGAAGAGGGCTCCATAGGGGTAGCATTCTGGATGGAAGAAGTGTGGAGGAGGTGGCCGGTAACTCTTTGCACAAGAGGAAGTTCGCTGAAGTATTACTTATAAAAAATCAAAAAGGTAAGCAGCCTAAGTGCCTCTAAAAGAAGTTTCAACAACAAAATTAATAATTAGAGTAAGTCACATAATTCATTAAAATAGAGTAAGAAACATAATTCATTAAAATCCTGTAATTTAATAAGTAATTGTTATTATTCAAATAATAATTCACCCTCTCTCTGGGGGTGAATTATTATTTGAATAATATATTATTATTATTATATTATTGGGACCAGTGGGACCTGGGTTTAGCGGGAATATCTATCCTTCCCCTTGAGGGTGGTTGTGATTTTCTCATATAGGTCACGCTGAACCTCCATTTGTCAGAAGTCATACAGTTTTTGGAGAATCTAACAATCTTGAGTTGAAAACTGCTTCAGGTTTTGAATTAAACCCATTAACTGGTGCTAATACTGTTCCCTTCCCCCTACAAAAAATAGAGTTTACCAAATGTCCTTGATGATAAGAATCACCACATGGTTCTTGTTACATGCTCACCCTTGACCCCATCTCTGATCACTGCACCAGAACATCGAGAGGGGAGTCCCGGGAAACTCTGTTTAGCAGGCGATGCTCATCACTGAGACATCTACTTAGCCTGTTTTTATAACAGTGCTTCTCAAACTCTTTGTACACATGAGATTCTGATTCAGTCTGGGGTGAGGCCTGAGATTCTGCACTGCCAGCAAGGTCTCAGGTGACATCGATACAGCTGGCCCGAGGACCACACTCAGCCATGGAAGCTTGATAGCATCCCAGCCAGGGATGCTTTGCAAGGAGCTTGTAATACCTCTACAGACCCCAAATGACAGATGATACCAGCTTTGAAAGAACAAGGGAAAAAGAGAAGAGCCCGGGGCTGCGGGAAACCTCTGGAGATGGGGACACTCACCACTAGAATCCAGTTCTTTGGCCTCCACAGTCAGGTTATACCAGGGGTAGGTTTCTCTGTCTACTTCTTTCTCATTGAAAATGTGCCCCTGTTTGGTTATGCGGAAGAATTGGCCTTTGTCACTGGTCCTGCGGATGGCGTATCTGTCCAGGGGAGAGAGTTTCATGGCTTTCCATTATTTTTTTTTAAATATATGTTTTAGTTGTTGATAGACCCTTATTTTATTTATTTATACGTGGTGCTGAGAATTGAACCCAGTGCCTCACATATGCCAGGCAAGTGTGCTACCACTGAGTCACAGCCCTCCATTATTTTTTTGTTGAGTCCAAATTCCTCAGCATGAGAGAGGAGGCCCTTCAGAAGCTCTCCCCACATCCTTCTCCATCCTTGTATCTCAGAGTTCTGGTTGTTTTCTACCACCCAGAGCAGTGAGCATTCAACATAGAGGGATTCAGGGGAGTGAGACCGTGTCTGATCTGAAGGGTGCTGGGGTACCTGAGACTATCAGTAGCCCTCTAGAGCTGAGCAGGTGACACTCTAATCAACCAGATCACAGATGTGTGTATGATCGATGAAAAGATAGGAGGGAAAGAGTCAGGAAAAAAAATAGAAAAGGAGCTGGAAGAGATAAGAAGTAGCAAAGAAGATAAAATTTGTGAAATAAAAAATGGAAACGTTCTCCCAGAAATCAGGAAGTTAGAAAGATATGAATATGTGTGTACGTGTGTGTACATGTATGTATATATGTCAATATACATATCATATGAATAAAAATAGTTGCTATGACTGAGAAAGATCCCGGAACAAACGGAACAGAAGAAATAACAAAAATATAATAAAAGAAAACTTTCCTGATCTGAAGAAAAACTGGAGACCATAGATTCATAGATGCCATTGATATCTGGCGTGTTTAATTAGGCATATCTTGATGGGACTTTTGAATTTCAAGGCTGTGTGAAGAAACTTTGAAAAAGAGGACAGACTCTCAGGAAAAAAAAATGAATTCCTTATTAATAAAGAGAAATAAGACTCACCCTGGATGCCCCCATAAAATTAAGTGGGAGAAAACATTGATAGTCTTTTTGAAGGAAAGTGTTTATTATCTGAGGATTATATAAGCACACCCAGGTGATACTAAAATAAGAAGAAAAAAACCATAAGTTTTTCTGTAAATATGCAAGAACTTAGGAAGTATATCACCCACAATAATGGGTCCTGAAATTTGTTTTTGAAAACTTAACTCTAAGAAATGTCTCAACAGGAAGTAAAAGCCTGGCTTAGGAGGAATTAGAATAAAGCTGTTGATTTCTTTATCATACATACTAATGCAATGGTGTGTGTGAGTGAGTGTGTGTGTGTGTGTGTGTGTGTGTGTGTGTGTGTATTGTTTTAACTAGAAAATATAAATCCAGGAAAACATTTAAAATTTTATACATAGAAGTGAATCTGATAGGTAGAAGTAAAAATGGATATATTCCACCCAAATATCTAGGAGGGGGAGATAAATAGGTTTATAGCAAGGATGAAGGACAAGAAACAACACCATTACATTTGAGAAATGGGAAGTGTTAAACAAGAACTAAAAGAATTAAGATCAAACATATCACTTATGGTAAAAAACGTAAATAGGTTGAACACAAAGTGTGTCAGTTTAGATGAAAGAGCAAAGCCACGTGCATTCTCCTTTCAAGAGACAACTTAATGTCAAATGACCTAGAAAAGTTAAAAGTAAAGGATGGAAAATTTACATCAGGCCAATAGAAACAACATGAAAACAAACCAAACCAACAAACTCAACGTTAGGCAGCATGGAACCAAAGGCCAAATATTCAAGCAGAACAAATTGGGTAGTTTCATAGCACAGAAGTTACAAGCCATAATGAAGGTAAAATAGTCGTAAATCTTAGTAAGCTGAATAGAAAAATTAAAAGGCACAAAGCAAAATCTTTGATGTTTTAGAGAAAATAGGCAGGAGTACCATTGTTATCACTGTTGTTATGGTTTGGTTATGAGGTGTCCCCCCAAAGCTTCTGTTAACACAGGAATATTCAGAGGAGAAATGAGTAGATGATGGGACTTGTAACCTAATCAGTTCACCCTAGTTTGAATGGACTGATTGGGTGGTAACTGTAGGCAGGTGGCCAGGGCTGGAGGAGCTGGATCACTGGGGACATGCTCTGGAAGGGTTCATCTTCCTTGTGGCTCCCGCCCCCCTCTCTTCTGCTTCCTGGCTCTCATGTCCTGAGAGCTGTTTTCCCCCTCCAAACCCTTCCGCCATGATGTCACATCTCACTTCAGGCCCAGAGCTTTGGAGTCAGCTGGTCATGAACTGAGCCTCTGAAACAGTGAGCCAAAATAAACTTTTCCTCCTCTAAGTTGTTCTTGTTAGGTCTTTTGGTCACAGGGACTTGAAGCTGATTAAAACAATTACATCACAAAACAAACTAAAACAAGTCAAAAAAAAAAAAAACCAAAAAAAAAAAAAAACCCCAAAAACCAAAAACAGAACAAAACCACTCTACCACTTGTAAATAAAAAGAAAAACAATCCAAGTCAATGTCGTAAATAAACCTATGGATCAAAGGAGTAACAAAATTGTAATTACTCATTATACAATAGAATGGCAAAGAAGAAGTCGTCCCCAAATTTGTGAGATGTAACCAAAATGCGGAGACTTGTTTTGTCCTTGATAAGAAGGCCTAATACCACAGAAACATTAGCTCTTCCAAAACTGATTCATAAACATAAGTCTTATTGGAATTCAAATGTTTTTAAAAACTAGCTAAAGGATTTTAAAGTTCATATGGAAGGATGAACATTTCAGGATAGATAAAAATGGGCTGGGGATATGGCTCAAGCCGTAGCGCGCTCGCCTGGCATGCGTGCGGCCCGGGTTCGATCCTCAGCACCACATACCAACAAAGATGTTATGTCCGCCCAGAACTAAAAAAAAAAATAAATATTAAAAAAAAAGCAGGATAGATAAAAATTATATAAAACTAAAAAGAAACAATGGGGGAGAGACTGGCCTTACCCATACTAAAATTTAGCAAAAGCTGCCACAATAAAACAGAATACCACAGAACAATAGAGAATCCAGAAAGAGATTCAAGTCTACACAAGAACTTAGTGTCCCACCATGCTGGGGAAATAATGACATTTAAAAAAAAATGGTGCTGGCATTGCTGGCTACCCAGGTAGAATAAAATAAGATTGGGCTGAAGTCATACTTACTATCAAATATCTCATAGATCGTTCCAGAGGGTGGAGGAAAGACATCTAGTTAGGATAGAGTAGCAAGTACTTGGGTTTGAACACATTCCCCACATGTTCATGTGTTGGAAACCTGATCCCCAAATTCATATGTTGATGGCATTTGGAGATAGGACTTTTGGGAAGTAATTAGGATTGGATGAGGTCAGGAAGGTGGGGTCCCCATGAGGGCATTAGTGGCTTTAAAGAAAGAGGAAGAGAGAGCTAGGCTGGAAGCCTGCTCTGTCTTGCCAGGAAAGCCCTCTGCCATGTTATGATGCAGCAAGGTCCCCACCAGAAGCCACGTTCTTGAACTTCTCAATCTCCAGAACTGTGAACCAACCTCCGTTCTTCATAAATTACTCACGTCTGTGGTATTCAGTTATAGGAACAGAAAACCAGGTAAGACAGAAAGTGCCAATGAAAAGGACACAACACCATCCAATAAAATTTTAAAAAACACAAACAACAGCAAATTCAGTATAAATCTGTCTATGTATCTGTATGATCATAAGGAAAGGTAGGTGGGCAGGGCTGGAGGAGGTGGATCACGGGGCATGTGCTCTGAGAGGGTTCATCTTCCCTGTGGCTCCCGTCCCTCTCTTTTCTGCTTAACTACAAGCCACTTAACATGAGCTGTCTGGCTGTGGGAGTTATCAGTTTTTTTTACAGACCTTTGTACTGTTTCAATGTGTGAAATAAACATGTCTTTACTTGTGTCATTTTTGGGAGACAAATTTAGCAAAACATGTTTGGTGAAGGGGCTTCAGGTATGTTATCTGATTGGCTGCTCTTTTACTGTCGGGTCTCTTAGGTGGGCTTGTGGTCCAAAGGACAGGCCCTTCAAAGCCAAAGAGAGATCAAACAGAGGGAGGACGGCTTGGACCATGGGGGTTACCTGGGAGGGTGAGAGCCCAGCAGGCTGGAGGTGTTGGTGGAAAGGCTTGGGCCACTGGCCCTGATTCTTCCACTTCCCATACTAGTGCAGGGGGAAGCCAGTTTTCCTCTCTGATTCTTGGTCTCAACCAGCAGCCACAAGAACATCAGTGCTAGGACTGTCACGGTCATCATCATCAACACGCCCACTGCCCCTTACCCAATGCTGCGCCGGGCCTCATCGGGATCTACAGCCATGACGGAGCCAATCAGAGGTTTCTTCTGGTTTTCCCGCAGCTGGAAGTGGTAGAAGTGTTGCTGGAAGACGGGAGGCTCGTCCACATCTGTGATGTTGATGATGACGCGGGCTTTGTTGCTGCCCGAGATGCCACTCAGGTATCGGAGGTTGATGGTGGGGTCCGTGGCCTCGATGGTGAACACGTACTGCCGGATGAGTTCATAGTCCAGGGGCTGCGTGAGGGGAAAAATATGGTAACGCCGCTCTGAGCCAAGCATCCTGCAAGGTAGGACTAAAATGACAACCGTTTGGCACTAGAGCCCAGACCAGTGACATTTCCAGGGTCATCAAGCCTGGCCAGGTCTAGTGTCTGTTTCCAGCTGCTCTGTACCTCATTTCAGCAGTCTCAGGGCCACACCCCCAACCCTGGCCCTGTTCCCAGTAAGTACTCTGCTCTTCAGAGGATCACAGACTAGTGGCTTGAGCCTTTGCTCCAAAGGCTTCCCTTGTGCTTGTCATCCCTCGAGCAGCCGTGAGGAGGTAATCAGAGGCCCTCTCGGAAGCCCTCCTAACTGGTGATGCTCTCTGCCTTCTGTTGCTGTGTAGCGATAAACACAGTGGCTGTACTTTTTTTTGTTTGTGGGTCTTTCTTCCCCACTTGCTGAGAGCTTTGTTGACCCGGGAGGCTGGTTGTCTCCCCTGGGTCTCTGATCTCCACTGCGGGGCTTGGCCATAGAAGAACTCAGGCTCAGGACCCCCGGTCCTCTGCATGGCCATTCTGGAGGCACTTTTAGCCCCCTGACAGGACCTCTCCCTCCTCTTCCATACGTAGTCTGACATTAGCAGCTACTGTCCATGGCCACCTGTGTCCTCATGCACTCACTGTTTCCATGCATGCTGATGACTTTCTACTGGCCAGCACACAGGGAAGAACAGAGAGTGTCAGAACAGTGCTCTGTCAACACTTGGTATATACATACCCCCACTCCCATCCCCAGCTGCAACTCTGAGATGCGATCTTACTGTCCCCCAGATGCCCTCCATGGGATGGGGCCCCATTTGCCCACCTGCTCATGAATGAGCTGAGTATTAGCTTCCTTCTTTTCACCTGAAATTGCTCCCAGGGCTCCCTAGAATCACTTTCTTTGAATAAGCCACACACCCAAATCCTTGCTCCAGTCTTCCCGGGCACATAGCCAGTTCTGAGCTGATCCAGAACATTGTCCTTTGATGGTCTCTGGCCCAGGAGAAGCCCCAGGGTAGATCCTTTGGCCACTGCAAGCCCCAAGCCCTACGTCTGAGGCTGTGGCTGCAGACCCACAAACCTTCATGGGTTTGATGATGCCCTCGTTGCGGGTGGGATCCGTCTCGATGGTGAAGGTGTCCCTGTATTCGCCCTGCACGATGCTGTACTTGGTCATCCTGTTCTGAGGCTCGTCTGGGTCATGAACAGACAGAAAGCCCAGAGGGCTGCCCACACGGATGTCTTCAGGCACCGTAAAGGTGTACTTGGCTGATGCAAATAGAATACCCCAAAAGGCATTGGATTAATGAGATGGATGAGGTTAGTGCTCTTTCATATCATCCTACCATATTTTGATCCAGAAAATGGACACAATAAAATAATGATGATGAGAATAATAATACTCCTTAGATTTGGGATCTTAAGGCAAAGGGGTCTATTCTATCTGTTGATTCATCCATTTGTCCATCCCTCTGTCCATCCAACACATGGTGATTGAGCACTGACTACACGCCAGGCACTTTGCTAGGGACCTATTAGTTGATAAGAGAGACAAGCTGTGCCTTCAGGGAGCTCATGCCACACAAAACAAGGTCACTGCAGAACTGGCTGGTTCTGCAGCTGGCTGAGCCTCTGATTTACATTAGCACTGAAGGATACAATGAGTACAGCCAACCAACTCTCTTGCCCAGACCCACCAAGGACACGGGACAGGCTCTTGTAAGATATTTTTTGGGGCAGGATTCAGTTTTAGGTGGGGTAAGGCTCAACCCCAGCTGTAGATCCCTGCTGACTGGCTCATGAGGATTTTCTAGCTGGGGCCGAGTCTCAGGGTCTGGATTCTCCTGAGCCCATGGGATCTGAGTGAAATTGCTCCTATGTCCTAATGGGACCCTACGCACAGTGATCACATCTAGCAGGGCCTGTGATTTCCCTCTGGTCTATGAGGAGACCATCACCAGGGGCAGCTGGACAGCCGTGGGAGTGTGGAGCAGGACCCATCTTGCACCCCAACATCTTCTCTGGGTCTTAGGCCCACCTGGGGTTGGGGGAGAGGTGGAGGAATTTGGGAAACCTCCCTCAGAGTTCCCAAGTCACTGAGTATCCCAACCCCCCCCCACACACACACACACACAGGGCCCTAGGGAGGGGCTCACTCTGCGTGAAGATGGGGAAGTTGTCATTGACGTCTTGCAGAGTGATTAGCACAGTGGCTGTGCCTGATTCTCCATGGAGGCCCTGGGCATCTCGGGCCTCTACCACGATCTCGTACCTGGCCTGCTTCTCTCGGTCCAAGTTTTTGGTTGTGGTGAAAATGAGTCCTGCAAAAAGTAGCCCCAAGAGTCATGTTACTGGAGGAACTCTGAGAAAATACAGATGTCTGGGCTGTACGTAGAGAACCTATAGGTGATTCCACTGTTCAGCCAGGCTGAGAACTACGTGTCTACAGGCTACTCTTTTGTGTCCTACCCCTTGCTCCACTAAAAATGACCAAACAGGATGGTCTAATATTGGTCTAGCCGGCTGGAGCATTGTGTTGAGAAATACCATGAGGCCACATGCAGGCTCAATGTGGAGGCGTTCTGTGATGGATTAATGATGTCTGCCTTGGTACACCATAGGGCAGTGCTGGTGTCTGCTATGTATTTGTTATTACTCTGAAAGACACTGGAGCAGCCCAAACAACTGGCCTTCTTGCTCCCAAGATTCAGTCTTTACTTTTTTTTTTTAATCTGTTAAATCAAACAAGGTTTGACCTGAGAATTCCTCTGTACTTGCATATTTAGGTCCTTATGTAACCAAAATGCAATCTAACTTAGCATGTAAATGAATTGAAACCTAAATGTGCTTCGGTCAATCCCAGGCTGCCAGATGTTCAAATGTTTGAGCTGTAACCAGTCTAGCTTTTTCTGGGCCTCACTTCTGTTTTCTGAATATTACTTTCCTTTCTTTGTCCATAAATGTTATCCATACCCTGGAGTTTCTCCAATCCTATTTTGATTCTGGGATTGCCTGATTTGTGAATTTTTTCCCCCTCAATTTAACTCTGTTAAATTAAATATGTCTAAAGCTTTTTTCTTTTAAAAATTCATGAAACACTATGTGGCTATGCCCTCCCTAGATTTATCTAACTCCAGCTTTGCGGCTCTCATAGGTGATGATGAGCAGTCCTATTTTCTGGATGAGGGGAGTAAGACTTCCAGAGGTTAGTAGTCTTATCCAAGGTGTCTAGAGAAGGGAAGTAGCTGAGTATGGAACGCAGGTCAGATCTATTTGAAGCTGTCCAAAGAACTGTTAACCAGCACTCTCTGCTGCCTCTTGCTCACTGCTTGGGTACCGAGATCCCGAGGTCCCCTGGGTTTGAGCCCAGGTCTTGGGTACCTATTTGCTTCCTGCTCCCATAAACCATCTCTACTTTATCTTTCTGCAGGCTATCAATCAACTCCATGGGATAGTGCTGTTTAGTAGTTGTTGACACACGTCCGGCTGGACTTCCCTCAGTATCTGTACCCAGAACATTTATGTCCCCTACTCCCCCAAGCTGGTGCCTGCCCGGGAGGGTTAATCACACAGACCAGAATTATCGATGGCAAAATACTCTTCCCCCTTCAGGACTTGGTACGTGATGGTGGCATGGTCTGACACCGTGGGGTCATCTGCATCCTCTGCCGTCACACGCGTGACTGAGGTTCCTGTGGAGAGAGAATTCGGGGGTTTCTGTCTCGTGACCATGGCCCCTCTCTCCGTTCCTAGGTGAGGGCAGATGTGATTCTGTTGTTCCTCTGTCCCCATGGGCTGAGGGGGGTGGGGAAGCCTGCTTTGTTTTCTGAGGAGCCTGACTGAGGACAAAGGGCTGCAGTGGTGGGACCCACCCAGGCCAACCTGGAGGGGGCCAAGAGCACAGGTGTTTGTGCCTTGAGGGGAGAAATCAGGGTCAGGAGTAGAAGCCCAGGAGAGCCACATGCACACAAAGGAGTGGTGACACATTTCTCATCCCCTTGAATTTCAGGGACCTCACACTTCACAGGAAGTTCTGCCCCCAGGGCTCTGATTGGGGATCCCGGACTGAGTGGGTAGAGAGGAAAGCTCTTTCCTGGCACCTTCTGGACACTCGGACAGGACTGAGGAAGGAGTAGTGACCTTCTTAGGCTGGTGACACACTTTGGGTCCAGGTCTCTGTCCCCCACCTCCGCTCCTACATGACCCCTAGAGATGATTCTTCTTACTTTGGTGACAGAGCCTGTCACACACTCTCGGTGTGACAGTCCTGGGGTTCAGAGGCAGTGGGTAGTATGTGTTCCAAAGAGTAGTGAGACATATGTGTGTCTCCGATGGCCAGGGCTCAGCCCACGGCTGGGATCAGGGATCAGTCTGTGACTGATCAGAACTCAGGCTGGGGCCAGGTCATAGTGTAGCCTTTAAGGATCAGTTTTTTCAAATCATATTAATTGACAATTATAACTCCTGCCCTGCACCCACTACATCCTGATCATGACAGTGAAATGGCTGATATGACAGGAGCCTCAGCCTGGGGAGGAGGGAGGAAGGAGGGAGAGAGACAGATTGGGGACGTACCCACAGCTGACATCTCAGGCACAGATGCGTTGAACAACCGGTGCATGAACACAGGCCAGTTGTCATTTACATCATGAACTTTGATAGTGAAGCTGGAAGGAGGTTCCAGGTTTTTGTTGGTTTCCTTGTCTACAATGAGGGCAGTGAGCTGGTATTCGGGGACTTTCTCCCGGTCCAGTCTCTCAAAAGCATACACGTCCCCTGTCTCTGCATCGACCCGGAAGACCTTGCCAGCGGAATCTCCTTGGAGCACATACTTGGTGTTCTTGCGATTCACGCTAGATTTGATCTAGGAAGGAACAGAATATGAGCTGGGGTGGGGGGAGCAGTGGTGGCTGGGTATATGTACACATGTGTGTGCATGTACAGAGTGTGTGCACACAGGAGCATGCACATGTAGGCATCTGCATGTGAGTAAGTATGTGTGCAGGTCTGTGCTCATGTGCACGCATGTGTGTGTATTCATGTGTGTATGTAGGTGCTGGTCAGAGATCCTAACTGTGACACTGAGGTTTTTAACAAGAACCTCCACTATTGGTTATTCTCAGCCAGCTCACTGCAAACACCAGCTGGTGTAAGTTGCCTAGCAGAGCCCAATCACCAAAATGGTGCTGAGGGCACAGCAGGGGCTTAGGAGGTAGCTTTTTGAGTGAAAGAATTTGGTGAATTAGAAGACAAAGAGTACTTTTGCCCCTTAGAAGGCACCTAGCCTCAATGACTTGGGATGACCTCATCTGTAAAATGTGGCTGCTGCTGCTTCTGAGGTTGACTTGCCCTCGTGAGTAGAGCACTCTTTTTGAAAGTGAGTCCCGGGAAACCTCCTCCTTTGCCCATGACTTTGAGCATCAGCTTAAATGTTCAGAAATATTTGTGAGCCGACTGTTAAACACAGCCATTGTTAAAAAACGAAATCTTATAGACTTACCATTAAATAAATCATATTCAAAATAAAGACCACAAACACTCAGAATTGATCACTTCCTCATTATTTTAGCATGTTCTTGAGATTAGGTGTGTGTTTTGTATGAGCGTGGTGGGAATACTGAGAAAGGACACGTCCAAGTAGGCCTTCTCCCAACTCTGTTTTCTGTGGTATCATGTTGGTAACTAAATCACTTTGCTGAAAGCTTTTACACCACGGAAATTGGCAAATGCTATACAATTGGGTCCATTTCCTCTGAAGAGCCAGTTTCAAATAGTTATCAGCCCTCCACTGATCCCCAGTGAATTCAATTTTGGAATGGCACATAAAAAGTTCTCTTCTTGGGGGTTTTCAATGTCCAGCCCTGGAGAAAAGAACTCCCATGAACTTTGTTAAATTCAGGATTTCCTGCACCTCTTCAACCATTGAACCATTTTTCTTATCACACGTGCTGTTAGTCTACCAAGAATTTGATTGGAGAATAGTGTGGGTCAAGTATCTTGCACAGAACAGAGCTCTCAATAAATGACAGTTATTATTAATGATACATCTGCAAATTAAAGAATATTATTAGAAGTTTAGAAGTGCTGAACATTCCATTTTTAGAATCTTAGAGAAAATCAGGACCACAAGACTAGGTAGTATGTATGCACGTAAAATGGTACTCCTCTGGGATGTTAGAAAGTCCAGAAAATAGAATTTAAATTTAAATGTAAAAAAATATAAAATTGGATGGCTACAAGGTGTCAGGCCCTACGTGGGCACACAGGGATAACACAAAACTATGCTGGCTCTCAGGGCTGAGGCTCAAATCCTCAGGGACTGGAACTCCAAGGAAGGACAGCCCTTAAGGATCAGATGGAGCAAGAACCTTGGAATGTGTCTGAGGAGGACTCATCAGGAAGGCCGGAAAACTGAGAGCTTGTGGGGCCTCAGGAGAGAAGAGGGAGATTCAAGAAGGTGTGGTCCAATCCCAAGAAGTCTTCAAGGTGTCCCTAGCATTTACCAGCTGTGTAGTCACTGAAGTCCTTGGTGAGAGCAGTGACATCTGGCAGTGGGCTGAGGAGCCAGATGGCAGTGTATAGAGAAGAGTCTGGAAGGTGATGGAGTGCAGACAGGGAGAGAGGACCCTTTCCCTGGGGTGGGCAGTGGGAGGGGGAGGCTGCAGCAGCAGGTGACGACCACCATCCTGGAGCAGGGCTGGGGTGGGCAGGGGCACGGGGGTCCCTGGGCAGGTTCCTAAGGTCCAGGAGCTAAGACATGACGAACAGCTGGAGAGGGCCAGAAGCCTCCTCTGAGCTCTGTAACCAGGGTCTTGTGACAGTGGGGACTCAAGGAGAAGGGACCGTCTGGGGCTCTGAGGGAGTTGCTCGGGATAGGATAAGATGGCAGTCTTCAAACTGGGTCCCTGGTGGATGCCTGAGGACCCAGCAGACAGGAAAGAGGAACAAGTCAGCTGGGGATTAGAAGGATGCATGAGATTTCATGTGCATGCAAATTTCTGTTTCCTTCCTCCGAATTTTTCTTAAATAGTTTTCAGTTTTTGAAACAGTTTTTAGATTTCCAGGAAGAGGGAGGAGCTATTCTATAGGACTCCAGTCAGCTGCTCCCCTCGGCCCCTGATGTCAACATCTTAGGTGAATGTGGGACAGTTCATAATAAAGGAACCAATACTGACACACGATCATGAACTAGAGCTAATAATTTATTTAGATTGCCTTGGTTTTTACCCAATGTCCTTTTTCTGTTTCAGGATCCTGTTGAGGATATTGCGCCACATTTAGTCATGGTGTTTCTTGGAGCTCTTTTTGGCTGTGAAGGTTTCTCGGACATTCATTGCATTTGGTGGACGTTGACGGTTTTGAGGAGTTCCAATCGGGAATGTCACAGGATGGCCTTCTACTGGGATCAGCCTGATGGTTTTCCTATGGTTAGGCTGGGGGAACAGGTTTTGGGGAGACACCGTTTCTGACATCACTGTATTTTGATGGAACGTCTCAATAGCACAGATCATGCCTACCCAGATTTGTGGGTGCAGAGACTGCTCAGAGTTCACTCCCATTGTCCACCCAGCTCTGTAAACAAAGGCTTCAGGCTCTGACCTCGATACGCAGGGACTTCCTTCCTTGGGATTATGTCCTTGGGAGCTGGGAGCCAGGAGGTGGTCCCTGAAGCCCTGTGCTTCCCTCTCCCAAGCACCTTGGTTTCCTCCCAGCATGGGGACCACACGTGGCTCCTCTGACCCCAACACTCTGCCCTTTGGTCTCATGCCAGGTGTCCAGGGACTTGATGCAGTCACTCAGATTGGCATCAAGCTCTCAGTCTTGACGCTCTTCCTGTTGTTTGCAGACCTTTGGGCGAGCCCCCAACAGTTGTCCTGGCAAGGGCTGGCATGATGCAGGTGGCCCCCACTTTCCACTGACTCTCCCTGACTCACTGCACAGATTTTCCTTGGGGCCAGTCCTTCTCCTCAGAAGATGATTCATGGCACAGTTATCCGGCTAGGAAGGATGTAGGTGGGTTGATGACATTTCCCTCGATGACACAGGGTTCACATTGGTGTTGGGAGTCAGGAGCCCCAGGTTCTCCGAGGGCTCTGTGTTGGTCTTGTTATGTGAACCTGGGCCTGGGTCTCCCCTCGGATGGGCCATGCTGTAAGATTTACTTCTCCCAGTCAGCCATTCAGGAGAGACAGAAGAGCCATGGGCTCAGCTGGCCGTGGCCATGGAGAGCCTCCAGTTGTCCCCAGCCCCTTCCTTTGTCTGTGGGAGCATTTCCAGTGTCATGGTCATACTGGGCCTGATCATCCAAAGTCCCTCTTCAGCCTGTTTCTCCATCACCAGTGAGCTTCCATTATTACCATTGGCAGATCAGCCGTTCCTCTAGACCAGGGTGGGTCAACTCTTTCTGTTAAGGGTCAGAAGGTAAATATTTCCGGCTTTGTGGGCCTTATGGCCTTTGTCACAACTATTCAACTCTGCTATTGGAGCAGGAAAGCAGCCAACTTGTAAATAAGTGGATGTGATTGTTTTTCAATCAAACTGTGTTTGCAAGTCCAGGCAGGGGGCCAGATTTGACCCACAGGATCCCTGCTCTAGACCACCATCTCCATGAGAGTTGGGCCCCCATCTATCTTTGTCTGTCTTTGTTGACTGCTCTTTCCATTACTCAGTCCAGTGCTTGGAGCTGTCTGTCCTTTTCCCAGGACATTTGACCTACTATTCTCTCTTGTAGTTGATAGATAGATTCCAAGAAGTTGGCAAGGTGAGATTTTAATGCACTCAGAAATGTTCTTCCTCACAGAAAACTCTCAAAACACCTAGGCCATCGACTTTTGTGTGAAATCCCATCGTGTGTGCCATGACTTTGAATTAGAGTGGATAGTTTTGAGGTCTGTGACAAATGGATATGGTGAGACAATTCAGCAGTCACTCAGGTTGGCATCAAGCTTTCAGAAAATGGGCTTGGGATGGTCACATCTTATAGGAGGACAAAGTAAGGATCAGAGCCGTAGGCTCTGCCCTGGAGGTCAGGCTTGGGTAGGCACCTTGTGATACGTGTCCTGCTTTGGGGGAGCTGTGTGAATCAAAGGCCTTGACCAGAATTGGCAATTATAGCCTGAATGATTAACCCTGTAACCAGCACCGTTTTGTTGAAGGCTGCTCAGTCTCCTCCCGATCTCTCAAATGGGAACACTTAATAGTGGCCATGGCTGGTTCTACCATAAGCCCAAAGCCCCTAGGCCAGGCTGGGTTCCTTAGCCTGAACATGGATGGCACTTTTGTTAGTTAAATCTGGTCTGTAAAGCCAGGTCTTAGAGAAAATGAGCCATAGCATTCACCACCACCACCATCGTTGACACCGCCACTTCTACTACTATTGCCTCCATTATCACCTACTTCTTCACCATCACCATCATTACCATCACTACCAACATCACCCCCACAACCACTCTCACCTCCCCCATCACCAATCCTCACACCATCATTACTTCCCTTACCTCCCCTTCATTGTCATGGCCGCCTCCATTACTACCCTAATACTTCCATGATCACCACCATTATCACCTTCTCTATTACAATCACTATGATCACCATTGTCACTGCCAATAATACCACCATCACCACCACCGCCACCACCACTATACCACCATACTACCTCTTTAATCACCACCCCCAACATCACCCTCAATTTCCCCTTCTCTATTCCCACCAGTGCCTCAGTCATCACTACTGTCTCTACCACTATCACCTTCCTCACTTCCCCTTCACTATCTATTATCATCAGCATTACCAACACTATTACCACCAGAACAATCACCAGTACACCATTACTACCACTATCACCTTCCTTTTTAGTCAGCTTTCCATGTGATGACAAAATACCTGATATAAAAAACTTAGAAGGCAGAAAAGTTTCAGTCCATGGCTGCTTGGCCCTGTTGCTTTGGGAGTGTGGCAAGAAAGAGCATCATGGTGGAAGTGTGTGGTGGGGTTCTGTGTCTCTCATGGAATCTGGGAAGCCAAGAGAGAGGAGGGGCCAGAATGCCAATATCCCTTTCACCACCCTGGGGATTTAAATTCTTTCCACAAGTCCCCATCTCCTAAGATCCAAACCATAACATTCTACCCCAACCCTTAAGGGCTCATGCCCATCTAATAATTCAAAATGCATTTAGTCCATTTCCAAGAGTCCCCAAAGTTTCAACAGTTCCATCATTGCTCCCAAAGTTCAAGTCCAAAGTCTCCTCAGAGACTCAAGCAACCTCTAGCTGTGAGCACCTTTAAAACAAACAAACAAACAAACAAAAAAAACACCACCAACAACAACAACAAAAAAAAAACAAACAAGAAAACAAGATACATACTTCCAAGATACAGTGGTACAGGGTAAATAAAAGTTGCTTGGTTACATTGCTTGGCCTGTGACAAATGGTAAGGAGTCAATGATGGATCAAAGCTACTCACTTCATGGCAACTGGGAAGCAAAGAGAGAAGTCCTAATATCCTCCTAACGGGCACCACCCCAATGACATAACTTCCTTTCATTTGTTTCCACCTCCTGAAGTTTCCACCACTCCCAATGGTGCCACAGGCTGAGGACAAAGCCATTAGCATATCACACACTTAAGATTCAAATCATAATACTATCTTACCTTCCCCATCACTAGCACCTCTACCTTCTCCATTACCACCACCATTACCACCAATACCATCACCACCACCACCACCACCATTAGCACTACTATCATCACAACAACCACTTTCACTACCTCCACCATTACCTCCCTCACCTTCCCCTTCACTCTTACCACCATCGCCATTATCACCACCACCAGTGCCAGTATTCCTTTCCCCACCTTCCTCTTCACTGTCACTGCCACCATCACCCCTATTACCACCACCACTAATACTATTACCCCTACTACCATCACCATCACCACCTCCCTCACATTCTCTTTTACTGTTACTACCACCACCACTATTACCATTGCCACCATTATCTCCCTCACTTTTTCTTTCACTGTTACTGCCACCACCACCACCACCACCACCACCATTACCACCATCACTACCACCATCACCACTACAATGACTACCACAGTTACCACCATCATCACCACCATTAGCACAACCATTACCAGCATAATTATCACTACCACCACCATTTTTACCACCATCACCACCACAATTACCACCACTATCATCACCACCATTACTACCACCATAACCATTACCACCACCACCACCACCACCTTTGCCACCATCACCACCACCATTACCACCACTATCATCACCACCATTACTACCACCATCACCATTACCACCATCACCACCACCATTACCACCAATATCATCACCATTATTACTACCACTATCACCATTACCACCACCACCACCACCATCGTTACCACCATCACCCACACCATTACCCCCACTATCATCACCACCATTACTACCACCATCATCATTACCACCATCACCACCACCACCACCTTTACCACCATCACCACCACCATTACCACCAATATCATCACCACCATTACTACCACCATCACCATTACCACCACCACCACCACCATTACCACCACTATCATCACCACCATTACTACCACCATCA